CCACTGATGAACCCGTGTTGGTTGCTCCTAAGCATGCAGTCCCCTGCTGGCCCCTCCTGTGTGGCAGAATAATTTTCTCAAACAGCTTGCCTATGTTACTTTAACTTCTCAAAATAAGATATATCTGATGAAGGTTACATTTCTGGTTTGCATGTGTAAAATGAGCCGTTTTCACACTGACTAATGATCCTCCTTCCTTATCTCTTCCTTTTTAAAATAGTCATAGTTATCTTCTGCAGGTTTGTTGCTTAAGCCTCCCTTTTTGTAGCTGAGCATTATTTCCGTAAAGTGGGGAGTTCTGTGATACTGGTTTTTACTTGAAAAAAATAACACCCCCCCATGCTGATATTTTGAGCATTAGCCACCTACACAATTGAGCTAAAAGAGTAAATGTAAAGCTTGCCACTCATATTCAACTAGTGACAGTGCTGGGCCCCATGCGTCAGAGATAATGACTAGAATCTTATGCTAGTGACAGATGGTGTGTTCTTGAGTGAATGTTTTCAAACGAAAGCCAGGTCAAAAAGAGTCGTATTGAAATTTGATATTTGTTTGGTATTTCAGGCAACTAGATTTTTATGCACGTTTTACTCCCTTTTTCATTTTCTTTTCAAAGAAGTGGTTGTTTACATTCTGTTTTGTTACTTACACCTCTGTTTCATGGGTCCCCTGATTACTAAACATAGCTTTTAATAAGATTTATTGTGTAACAGTACATTTTGTTATGGAAAGGGTGCTTAATATTTGGTTATTTTTTGGATTGCTGTACCTTCTTGGAAACTGGTGTCAGGCAGAAGATAGAGTAGAACTAATTTTATAGAGCAAGTCAGAGATGCTTAAACTTTTGTAAGCATCAACTCCTTTCATCAGATGCTAGGAAGGGGCTGCAGGGACTATTTTTAAATAGATAGCAGTGATATAGGGAAAGGGGAGAAAAAATGGAGGGACACTGCAGAGAGGCAAAAGTAGGTAGAAGAGGTGAAAACAAAGCAGTTAAGATGCCGTTGATACCATTCCATTTGGTACTTGGTATTATACAAATGCACGAGATTAACAAGATCGATGTTGTTTGGCAGAAGAGAGAGAGTTATTCAATTGTTCCTTATTATAGGTACTTCACAATAAAGCCGGAAACAAAACTAGGAGCTGTTATGAGAAGGGAATGAACAGTTATTCCTAAAGTGAGTAACGTGTAGTGTTGTGGTAGGAGTGGAGATTTTTATATTAAATGGTTCTTCACAACCTGCAAAGGATAATGAGCTTAAATGCCAACATCATGTTAGAATTCAGATACGTGAATTGCAATTAAGCCAACCATGTCTTGAGGAAGGAACTGAAGTAAATGTTATTCTGAAAAAAATAAAACCCAATGTTGCAGCATTAACTACAAAGTTAATGCATGTATCCTTGTTTATCTTCTTTTAATTTATGTAGAATCTAGATGACCAAACTTTTTGCTGGAGTTGCTTTCAGTTATGGAGTACTCTGATTTGGAAGCTGACAGAAGAATGCAGAGAAGGTTGCAGCTTCTGCCAATTTCTGTATCCCTTCACTTCAAAATGCCTGGTTATGAGTAAAGTTGCAATGCTGGAGAAAGCTGCTGCTTATCTGTAAAAATAAAGATTAGGTGGCAAGTATTGCAAACAGCTTAAGCTCATGAATTCCTACAAGGGACTTTTTTTGAAAAAAAAGAAATGGCCTTATGCTGGGAAATGCTAGTGTAATTGGGGAAAAAATATGTAATTGTTAGATGGAACTTGAATTTCACATTAAAGTACTTTTCAATATTGGGTGTTGGTTTCTGATCCCCTTATTGTGTTGGTTCATTCACTCCTTTGTTAATAAAGTTTCAGAGTTTAACACTATGCATTCTCCATTTGTGAAAAGAGAACGTTATAAACCCATTAATGATGGAAATGGCAAAGAAGAATGCTGTAAAGCGTAGAGGAGAGCATGTCGGATATTTGCACAGGTGTTCATGGTCACATTGTTGGACATACACTGTAGCTTTAAGATTCTCATTGATTTATTGATTTCTCTCTCTCTCTCTTTTTTTTTTTTAAGTTTACATTTTAAAAAATCTGTGTAAGTGATGAAATTCATGCAGGTATCAAGACCTACCAAAAGGTGTTTTGCAGTTAAATCTCCGAAAAGTTAACTTTTGGTGAGGTGTGTGAGAGATGAATTTTACTGTCAATCTGTATTCTTCTACAAGACCTTGAGCATTCTTTGGCTTTGTGCAGATGGAGAACATTTCTCCTGATGAATAAACAGGGAACACATTGCAGTAGTTTACTAAGGGTAAAACAAAGGCTTCCTTTTCTAATTCTGTATACAGAATTGTTTTGAAGTTCTTTGAATACAAAAAAAAAAGTTTTCCCCACATATTGTTCATGTTTTGGTTTACAAAGCATTTGTTTAAAAAAAAATTTTTTTTTTAAAAACTGTAAACAGATATGTTGCATCTTTTTCTTTTTCCACTTGAGCCACACTACATTTTAATTGCCAGGTTTCTGAGCACTAATTAATGCAAGAAATGGTGCACATTTGATGTTGTTAGTACATGTTTTGAAGTTTTTACTCATGTATTTACAGCCTATTTTATAATTTGGCAAGCAATTGTAATTTAAATATAACTGTGGAATAGCCTACTACTTTCTGTTGTTCTGTTGAAAAAATGGGCTTCTCCTTTTTTATTGCTTCATCATCTGTGTGACATAAGTAAATATGGTAGAATTGTCAAGAGAGGAGTTAATATAGGAAGTTTTATTTTTTGTTTTTTGTTTGTGGTCAGGAAGTTTGGTAGTTATGGCATGATTTGAGTCTAGTGGTTTGAACTGCCAAGTATGTGCATTTGAGAGAGAGCACAGTACTAATTTATTCTTTGAAGAATAAACAAACAAAAAAAGATTATTGCTTTTATTTTGATGCACTTTACTGTGGGCAACAAGAATAAGTTTGTTAATAGAGGATTTTTTTTATTCGTTTCTTTCACTCGCTTTCTTTGCTGTTGGCCATATTATCTTTGAATCGACTTTGCTACACATCTGAGGTACTCTCCTACATGGTGGCTAAAACCATGCTTAATTATACACAGTTGGTCTTGGTATTTTTGAGCATGTCAGCAAAATACTTTTTTTATGCTCTTCCTTGCCCTCTCAAAGTAACTTTCACTATTATCACACACTCCACAGAGCTACCAAAATGTTGGGGTGGATGATCAGGTTGATTTATTAAGTGAGATAACAATATTAAATAATTATTTTCCAGTAAAAATTAACATGAGAGATTTTCTAAGTCTTCCACCAGTCTGGAGGATCTTCAGGTTCTCCATTGAAATGCTTCTGAAATTAAGTTCAGCTTTGTTCTTTTTAGTATTACCAATTTGTTTACATTGTTTTGTGTCTATTTTTTCAAGGAGTGGAATAAAATTTGCTGTCCTTCTAAGAGGAAAAAATGGGGTTCCATTTCACATGATCTAGTTTGTACAAGTCTAAAATGCACAGGGCCTGAAGGCTGACCTGGTTTTGAATACTGATTTGCAAAATAGGGTAAAGAAAATTAAAATTTACTAGCAAACTACTGTTTTAAACCTGATTTACCTCCATCCAGACTGCCTTGTTAAACAGCATTTAAGTAAAGTTTAGTCTAACTCTCCCCCCCGCCCTTCTTAAATAGATGAATTCTGTAAACAGTGAGTTGTGGAGAGTGACATCTTATAGACTGACTCATTCAATAAACTTTGGTAGGCCCAACTGAGGAAGTCACAGAGACGCAGTTTGCTGACTAGAAGCACAAGAACTTCTGGGTCCTGTTCCTGGTTTCTTCATGCTTATTGTGCATCTTAGTGCAAGTACCTTTTTTGGACTGTTCTACACTCACAAAAATGGAAAACTATCTCCCTCCTTAACAGGTTTATTATCAAGTTTAATTAAAAACTTTCAAGGAGCTTTGAGAAATGTCACTTAAACTCTTAAATAACTCCTGCTGGTTAGTGCAGAATAATGTTAGAGTGATATTGTAACCATGATGGTCTAGAATTGGGTTATCAAATTGCTAAGTGGATTGGGGCCAGTCCATGGGTTGGATTGGGCCCACAGACTGGCTGCATGCACTGGATCCAGTGTGTTGGGTTGGTCTGATGTCAGCATGACATGTCCCAAACAGTCTGGGTATGTGACCAGCGCATGTTATACGCAGCATGCAGGCTCATTCAGGGCATGCGTGTGGCTTGTAGCCAAAGACCCACAGGCTGTGCTGTGGCCTGGGTGATGCAGCTATGAGTTATAGGACTCCACAACTTGCCTTTTTTACCCCCTTGGTCTAAGAAATATGCAAATGATAAGACTGTTTTGCAGGGGTGGGGTAATATCTTTTCTTGGATCAACTACATAGTATGAGAGATTTTAGATGAGCTTTTGAGCACAAAATGTTCTTCCTTAAGTCTGAAAAAGAAGCCGGTGTAGCCTGAGCTAAGTAAGGAACAATAGCCTGTTAAAAAAAATCCTTATAAATAAAAGCATAGTCTGCTAAAAGGAATGGAGCAGGGCTGTAAAAAAAGAGCAAACAAACGTTATCAGGATGAACTGAAAGATAACAGAAATGGACTAGGAAGGATAACCTGATAAGTGGAGGAGCACAACTATTTAAGAAGGAAGAGTCATGGACTGCAGAGAGATTAGCAGGTAGATTATAATGAGTCAAAAATCTTTGTTAAATCCTTGAGTTCTGTTGCCCAGTATAGTTAGGAATATTTATTCCTGGGGCCGTCATTTGAAGTTGGTTTGTATATTGCAGTTGAGCACGAGTATTGTGAGGTCATAGAATGAGTGGTAGTTTCGTGAAAAAAGTTCTTCCTCCCTTTAGATGCTATAAAAGAAGAAATATGTAACGTGACGTTCACCATGACAGTCACAGGACTGTGAAACTAACCTATTGTTTCATTTTGTTCTGCTTTTAAAAACATTACATGGAAAGTTGCAGTTTGTTTTTCAGTTCCCTCAAAACCTTTCATAGACATATTATACACTTATAAAGAAACAGCCCTTTTTTTGTATAGGGTATCATTAAACTGAGCCACAGCTTTGTTTTAAACTTAACTGACTTGTACTGCTGTGATAAACTGCTCCAAAGAGGGGTGAAATAACACCTCTGTATCTCATCTATTAGAAGGGAGCATGCAGGGAGTGAAATAGTTTTGTTGCAGTCTTTCCAGAAAAAAAGCTAACAGTTCCATCTGTCATTAGATGAATTTTGAGTCTCACTGACTAGAGAAGTCCTTTGCAAACTGATGCGAAGTCCTGCCTCTTTCCATTAGCTCTTCTGCAGAGTAGTGTAACCACAACACTACACATTGATCCTTTTTTCATGGTCTTTGGTTTAAATAGTATATGTGATAATGGATTGTTGGTTGTAGCTGTGTTGGTCTAAGGACATAGGCAAGATTTTTTTGGGTAGATGTGATTTTTTTTTTTTTTTTTTTATTAGACCAACTAAATAATTGGGAAAAGGTTCTTTGCAGGCTTTTGGGGTACAAACATTCTTCATCAGACATAGTCTCCCTATACCTGATGAAGGGTGTTTGTGCCCAAAAGCTTGCAAAGAAAATGTGAGAATGGAACTTTGTACCCAACGTGATGCTGCACTTTCTCAAGTTGGCAGATCAGGTAATCTTTTTAAGTGTTCTGTTGAATCTTGCTTGTGATAAGATGTACAATTAGTTTTGTTTCACTGGTGAGAGAGATGTTTGCATAATTTCATCAGATGGCAGTAGTTCAAATTCCTACTCTTCATGTAGTCATTTTTATGTTTCCATCTGCTGGCTGTTAAAAATAAAAATTTTAGGATCTCAACAGGTGTGAGGTTAGGGTGGATTCAGACACTAAATGGAAAAGTTAGAAATGTACCCTTCTGTTCTAAGAGAGAGCTTTACAAGATCCCCTATAAACATTGTCAGATGAGTCACAAATTATTTTATCAAGCTTGGATAGTAAGCTTTTAATATGCATTCCTACAGACTGCAGATATTGGGTAATGGTTATGGTGCAGTATAGTAGGTCACAAACCAACCTTTTTTCAAGTCATTCTTCTGTAAGAGCCTAACTAAGTTTTGTGACTAATGGGTGGCTTTCCTCTAAAAGAAATCCTTTGTCCATAGTTCAGCTTGACTGCTTCAAAACAGGAGGATGGATACAAGTTGATTTGGCAGTGCTCAGCTATCTAGAAACAAAAGATTATCTCCAAAAGAGTGCTCAAATTCATCTTCAATTTTTTTTGCTCAAGTTTACGTTACTGATTCCCACCCTCATGACTGCTTAGATGATTCAATAGATTAGACAGGGTGCACTCTATCCTAGTAGGAAAAGTACCTATTTTAATGGAGACTCTGTAGTCATTATATGTAAATTTTTCCACACATTTTAGTACTACTGGGTTCTGAAGTTTGCTGAGCTCTGTTAAAGTTTTCTCTTCTTTTCCCATAGCTGCTGCTGCTTGTGCTGAGGAAGGCCAGTTTTGAGACATGCTGTTCTATCAATTTACTTTAAATGATGGAAGAGGTAATGATGTAGGTTTAACTAAAACAACAACAAAAAAACCCAACCCTTTTTCTTTTCTAAGACCTTAGTTTTAAATTTGTTCTGTCCCAGGTGAAATGTTCTTAAGTCAAGCCCATGGGTTTTATTTCTTACCAGTTGCCACTTCTGTTGTGTGGGTAGGAATTTTCTCTTAGATGTAGGGACAGGACAAAGAGAAATGTTGCAGTCTCAGATGGGATACATTGCGTGGAGGATGCTTGTAGATATTGTAGGTTTGTCAGGTTACTTCATGAAAATCTGTATTGAAGCTCAGCCTTTACAAAGAGTATGAATGTTCTTTCAAATAGATTCTGTCATAGCTAAAGTCTCTCCAGTTCTGCTGAACTTTCTTTCCTTAGAAAATTGTGGTGCTGCAGATTATTAACAGCTAACTTGGCATGTAGGAAAGATGGAGAGATGCTAAATAGTTTAATTTTTTCCAACAATATACTCTTCATTATATTTTACATTGCTGGCAACACTTTAGCCCAGAAATTTATGATATCAGAAAAAACGTTAAATATGTTTAACAACAGAAAAATGAGCCAAACACAGGAAAAAGAGGCAGGTTTGCTGGGAAAGAATGTAGGGATGTGGCTAAAGCTATAAACCAAGTACATTTTATAATTGAGTGCTTTATTGGAAATCGTTTTCAGTCAGGTTGCCAATATGATGACAACATCTTTTTTTTTTTTTTTTTTTTTTTTTTTT